CTAAAATGTCACCTGGTCTCTCCGCACTACCCTGATCAATGGAGATTTGCGAAATGATCTCATTAAACCTCCCATTCACGCTCACTTTTTTCATTCCCCCTCCTATAAAAATGTGTATATTTTACCTTGTATACTCATTCTTTGAGACTTTGCTCAATTATCTCCTCTTGAAGTCCCTAACTTCCGATGGCTGAGATGACAACATAGTACCCAGTGCTCTCAAGGCACCAGTGAGGACCTTACACATTGGAAGGCATCACTTACACGGGCTCAGGCTGTGCGGTTTCCTGTTCAGTACCCGGCACCCCACACACTAACTGATGCCTGACAGACTGCTGATGCTCAGAGATTTTAGGGGGTGGGTACTGGGGACTGAACCCAGGGCCTTTGCACTGAGCTACGCCTGCAGCTCTTTAAAAATCTTTTATTTTGAGACAAGGTCTTGCTAAGTTGCTAAATTGCCCAATTTGGAATCGAACACTCAATCCTCCTGCCTTAGCCTCCCACAGTGCTGGGATTACAGGTACATGCCACCACATCCAGCTAAGTTAACTACTAGATTTTATTGGCTTTCTGTGTCTTTCCTTTTTTCTGTACTTTATCCTGCCCTGGAACATGTTAACAAGAAAAACAATCTTCTGGGCTCGTTAGGCAGATCCTGCAGCAGGGCTGGGAGCCTTGGCAAAGTCATAAAGTCAGATAGATTTACAGTCCCCCTGCTGATGACCTATATATCACCTCCTTCTCTTTCCCAAACTGCTCATTCTAAATCTTTGTGTTTACCTTGAGGCCTCTACTACAATACCTTCCTTGCTGCCATTTCCTTCTGCCTCCCATACCCTCACAATCTCAGCAGATGTGCTACTTTCTATATTACAGAGAAACCAGAAACAATACGGCATAAACTCCAATCTTTCTGCCCTTTCCAAATAAAATGCATCCGCAGCTATCACTCCCATTCTCGTGGAAGACACCCTCTACATCACTCAAGGGTGATCCTTCTGTCTGGGTCCTGGTCCCATCCCCTCCTTCCTCCTGAAATAAGCATTCATCACCAACTCTGAACCCCTGGTATTATATTCAACTGCTTGCTTAATATTCAGCTTTGATGGTTAACACATATCTCATACAACAGGCTCGAAAACATTTCCCAGTTGCTTATGCCTAAAAACCAACCTTAGGGTCACCTTTGATATCTCTTTTTCTCTCATATTTCATAGCAAATCTAGATGGGTTTTTCTTCAACATATGTCTAGAACTAGTGTTTCCAACTTGACCCAAGCTGTCCATTTTATCACTTGCATGGATTATAGCAACAGCCTTCCAAACAATCACTCTGCTTCCCTCCTTGCCCCCTACCCTGTATTCTCAACAGCTGGAGTGATCGGGTTAAAACTCCAGATCATGACAATCTTCTGCTCAGAATCATCCACGGTCCCATCTCACTGAGCACAAAGCCACTTTTTAGTGGATGACAAGGTCCTGTGTGAACCGGTACCCTTGGGCTGCATCTTCAACTACTCTTTCCTCGTTCACACTGCTCTAGCCACCGGGCCCCTGGCTTCTAATTCTGCAAGTCAGGGAGACCCCTTCTTCAGGTCTAGAACAACATCAGGGGTCTCTCTAGGGCCACCTCAACATGCAAATTAGGAGTGTCACAAGTTGCACATGGCACCGGAATCACTTGGAGATGAGACTGCAGTCACACCTCGCCAGCAAGGCAGCATCAGGTTTTCCCAAGTGAAAATCTTCACAGGTATCCTTGGAGCCTACATTGCTGCCGAGAGCTAGTCTCTTCCTGAATGCATCCTCTCCTGGCATCTCAAGTGCAAGAAAAGATGCACCTTAGGCAGACTCAGGACCTACTGTGACTTAGGCCTTACGTCCTAAGGGAGCCAATATATTTGTAACACAATAGGTGCTCCTTCTATGTGTCAAGCCACATGCCTGCTTCCAAGTGTCACCACAATCAGAAATCCAACGATAAGGTTTCCTGCCAGGCGTGTAACCGTCTCCCAGCCCAGCAAAGCTGACCAATGAGCAGTCATTAATACCTTTAGTATCGTTGCCTAGTAACACAATTAACATTCTGCCTTTTTCAGATCTCCAGGGAAACAGAGCTAGACAGCTGGAATTTTGTAGAGAAAGTAAAGTGCTGCAGAGGGTGAAGCATTCTATTATCTCTGTCTCTGTGCCCCTTGTTCTTGCTGCTTTTCCTGCCTGGAAAGCTCCTTCCAGGACATCTGCATGGTCTACTTCTGTGTCTCTTTCAACGGCTTGGCCCAAAGTCATAACTCCTAACACTCCTGCTGAGACCTCCTACCACCTTTGCACGCTTTTTCTTTCTTCCAGTGCCCCTACCACATTTGAACATACCGCATTGCATTTTATCTATGATTTTTCTTTCTCTGGTTTCAGTTACTCACGGTCAACTGGGGCCTAAAAATATCAAATGGAGAAACTCCAGAAAGAAACAGTTCATAAGCTTTAAATTGCATGCCGTTCTGAGTAGTGCGATGTTAGTCGCGTGGTACCCATCTTGGTTATCAGACTGACTTTCTGTGTCTCAGTGCTTGTATTCACATAACCTTTATTTCAACAATGGCCTCAAGGCACAAGGGTAGCAATACTGGAAATTCATTTGAAGTGTTTCCCCTAAGTGAAAAAGTGGAAGTATTGACTTAAGAAGAAAAGGAAAACATTATACAGTGAGGTTGCTAAGAGTTATGGAAGGAACAAATAGAGAAAAACATTGGTTTGGTACTATTCCCAATTTTAGGTACCCCCTGGGCATCTTGGACCACATTCTCAGGGGATTACTGTATGCAATTTACTACAAAGCATCCTTGTTTCATTTAATGACCAAGTTCTGCTCCCACGAACAGGTTGTTAAGTGAATTTGTCACTAAATGAGGAATTGTACATAGTATGTACATTATAGTACAGACGTAGAAAAAGCCACCTGTCGCTCAAGCTCCTGCACCCTAAGCCTGTACAGTGCACCTCCACCCGAAGTCTGAACAGTCATTAAGCAGGTAGGTCGTTAAACAACAAGTACCTGTAATTGATTTTGCTTAATTTATTCACTCCTTTCTCAAGGAATTTAAACTCAACAAGGCTGAGATTTAAAAAAAAATTTTTTTCCTTCATTCTTAGTAGAATATTCCTTGCACACAGTAGGTTCTTCAACAAATTCTTGTTTTAGTTATGAATGAATAAATGCTTTTTCTCTCTTTTAGATCCTAGCTTCTCACCAGCATCATTTCTTGGTGGGGGGGGGAAGTGAATAAAATGTCTTTAGTTAAGTAAAAGGCAGTGCTGCATAGTGTTAGGGACTGAGAAGGACTTTGGATCCAAATTGCCTGGTGTGAATCAAGCCTTGCTACCATCTTGGGAGGTGTTTTTTCAACCTCTTTGTGCCTCTGTGGTATGGTTTGTAAATGGGTCAACAGTAGTGCTTAGAGCCTACAGTTGCCGTGAGAGAAAAATGAGTTACATGTATGTAAAATGTATTAACTATGATTAATATCAATTTTAAAAGGCCTTTATTTCAACACTGAGCCACTGCTAGCTACTTTTCTCTCTCCTGACCTCCTCTGCCAGCTGATCTTTTCGAAAGTCAAAGCCTCTGTCTGCTTCAACTCTTATCACTTGTCCAATCACTGGAATTAGTGTTCAAAGTGATTTTTTCTCTGTGAATTCACCGAGATCTGCCTGTGATCACGGACTGCCCTTCCCGTGGCTGCTGACACACTTTTCCCTCCTGGGGTCCACATGTTTTTATGGCTGCCCCTTCCCAGTCGGCCTCAGAAGCTCCCCTTCCTCCCCCACACTCCTCAACGCTGTTCCTGCCATCGTCTCCCTCACGGTTTCATTCACAGGCACGGAGCTGAGACTCTTACAAATAAGCCTCACCTGCCCTACTGAGAGTTTCCCAAAAATGCTGTGTTCCTCCTCATATCTGTGACTTGAAGCTTTCTCTTTCCTCTTCTGGCACCTTTACCCACTCCCAGTTCCTGTTTCCTGACTGGTTTCAGCTGGTTCTCCAAGTTTTAATGTAAAACTTGTTCCCAAGATCAGCCAAGTACCCTTCCTCCGTTCTCCCTTCCTGCTGTGTGGCAGCCTGTATCACAGCGTAACCTAAGTTCCTCTGCTTGCACTTAGTTCCTCCCTTGACACAAACTACTTACAGGTGTCTATGTCTTCAAAGCATGTGTCTGGCACAGAGCAGTGAGCCAAATGTATCCGGATTCATACACAAGTACAAAGAATGCATATGGGACTCAGTATGTGAATACACAGCATATACAGGTCCACCAAAAATTATATACATACTTCAGCAGTTCGCTGTGCTAATAAATGTCTGGAAGCTAATCGTCACCACTTTGAGCACCTCTTGTAATTGTAGAGGCCAGAGGTAACTTGTATTATTCTCATGATGTCTCGATAAATTTAGTATTAGGATATTTATATAAGTTTTTTTTTCCTGATGTATACAATTTTTTGGTGGACTCTCTATATAGGATTCAACATGCGAATACGTAACGTCCACATAGGATACATTTTGATGGGGTTACATTTTACTTCAGAACTAAACATGGGGCAAAATAACGATATGTCACCAAAGTATGACTTCTTCCAGAAAACCGTACCAGGTTGAAGCGTAAGAGGTGAAAAGCAAAGGTTCCATTTTGGCATTGCGTCTGTATTTCACTGCAAAGCCAACTTTGAAAGATAAGGGACCCCACTGATGGGAGTCATCACTTGACATTAGTCAACTACAGCTGGGCTCTCTGAAATCTTATAAGTACCATATTTACCTTATTAGGAGAGTTTAGCAAATGTCTCAGGCTCCCTGCCATGATTACAAATGACATACACAAGAAGAGCAGAGCAACTAATATTTACACTGTTAAAAATCACTCAGTGGGCTCTTTAAGAAGTTTCACTGGCGTGGCATCTTGCTCTGGCCCTATCTCGCCTTGGCTCTAGGCACCTACCTGCAAAGTGCATCCGAACACACCGATCATCAGCATGGCCACGGAGAGGTAATCCGTAAACACGTCCCACCATGGCTTCAGCACCCGGAAGGCTGGCTGCTGCTCAGAGAACTGCCGGAATTCTGTCACCGGAATCATGTTTCTGAGAAAAGAGAAACTGCTGGTGAATTAATCTATTAGTACACTGTTACCAGCACGGAAACACAGCTTCAACCCTTCAGAAGCAGAGGTCTGCCTGCGTCCAGGACCCGCCAAGGAGCAGTGCTTCAGTGAGACACTGAATAAAACCACCAGCAGAGGAAATGAGGAGACCCACACGCAGCAGGCAGGGACTTACACTGAGTTACTGTCCAGCAGCCGGGCTCCTGTTGTACTCCTGGGGGATACAGAGGTAGTGGCCAAGTCCTAGTTATTTCTTGTGCCCTCGTCCTTCAAAGAGAACATGAGGATGTCAGCAAGAAAACGCAGCCCACCCCGTAAAACATTCTTGCTATTTCTCTTACCCTCTTGGGTTAACCGTTTAAACTGTTTAAATGTCATTCCAGGATTCACTTGTGCTAATTCTTTAGTGCGCCTTATTCATAAGGCATTTTGCTTACTCCCCGGGGAAGGGAAGCAAAAGCGATACGGTTGGATTAGTGTCCCTGAAAGGCCTATGCGTTAAAGGGTTGGCCACCAGCCTATGGCACACCTGGGCAGTAGTGGAACCTTTAAGAGGTGGGGCCTGGAAGGAGATCACCAGGGTGTGCCACTGAGGGGGACACTGGGACCCCAGCCCCTTCTTGTTTCTGTTTCCGGGCACCATGAGGTGGGCACGGATCCGCTGCCATGCATTCCTGCCACCATGTGCCACCTCGCCCCAGGACCAAAGGCAGTGGGCCCGCTGTCCAGGGACTGAAACCTCCAAAACTGTGAAGCAGAGTAAACCTTTCCTTTTTAAAGCTGACTCAACCTCAGGCATTGTTACAATGATGACTACTGTGAGACTCTTATCTCTATCTAAATGACAGACACTGAGTAAACAATGTGCACCTGAGGCTGCGTAAAACGGGAAGAGAGGCACATCCTTTTCTTGGTCTGCATTTTCCTTTTTCATGCGTCATCCTCACTGCCTTTCCTGTGACTCAGGATTTGGGGTTAATCATCCTCCTCTAAGAGAAGAAGCATTTTCTCCTTATGTTACGGCAAGGAATAAGGGTGGCTAATGAGGGCCAAAATGAAAACCTTTCTCCCTTCTGCCTTCTTTAAGTCTAATAATCCAGCTCTTCACATCTGTCTTCTCACTTAATCCTAATTAAAAATGCAAGGGAAAGGCTAGGCTTGCTGCTCCATCTCCTAAGTCTTGCTTGTTGCATAGATTTGTCTTCCCAATACCAAATTAATGACTGTACAGTAAATACCTCAGATAGGATCTAACTCTCCTTCAAATTCATTGGTGGTTATAACTTTGGAAAATATGTTATTCATTCTGTCTTGCTGCTTAAAGACTTTTTTAAAAAGTTCATTTTCCTTTTGTTCTTTAAGAATGTTTAAAATTTCATCAGCCAGGAGATACTCACCTATGTCCTATCTACTTGACATCGGTGCAGTGTTTGATATTATTTCCTCATTTTAATAAACAGAGCTCCATTCTGTTACCACCACTAGGCCGTAGACTTCTTCAGAGTACAGCATTTATGTCATGCATATGCGTGTCCTTAAAGCATATGCTACCGGCAAACCACACAAGCTAAATAAATTATCTCACATAGTCCTGGTGTCATTAAAATTTCAGGCCAGCTCACACTTTGATTTTCCTGACACCTTATGGCTTCATTTCTGTATGAATCTTGACAACCTCATTGTCCCAGATGTGTTCCAGTCAGATGTTTCTGTGATAACCACAGACAGGCACTAATTCATCATAACTTTCAAATTCTGCTCAGAAGCTAATGTCTTATTCTATTTTGAATCCTTATCACCCTCTGCAGAGCCCAGAAAAAAATAGAACCTGAACAACTGCTTGTTGAATAAATCAACGTAGGTTCATAGGTGAATGTAGGTGATCATACATGCAGCAGTGCTCATTCACTCAGATTCTGGGTTACCCTAATTAGCTGCAATGACAGTGATAATTAGCAAACTACCTGTGTTATAGTCAACTCTTTTTGGTAGATTCGATTTCCGTCTCTTTCATATGTTTCTTTACACCCTGGAGGGAATTGGCCTTATCCACTTAAGTGGAGGACAGTTTCAAGAAGAAAGTGCACGGATGTAGAGCAATGGTTCTCAGACTCTTTGGTCTCAGAACTCCTTCATACTCTAAATACAATGAGGAGAACACCCAAGTGTTAATGCTGCTGTCCCCATAAATAATTTCATGTTAGAAACTGAAACCAAGACATTTTTAAAATATACATTAATTCATTAAAAGAAGAACTCAGTCCATGCTAATATATACTATTAGTAAAATATATTTTAAAAACAAAAATTAGTGAGAATAATGACACTGTTTTACATCTTTATGAATCTCTTTAATAGTGGCTCAACATAAAGACCCCCTGGATTATCAGTTTACCATCTACATTCAATATATCTGATATGTCATTTGGGTGAAAAATACAAGTTAAACAAAGATGTATGCTTAGAAATGTGTTCTTAATAGCTTTTTCATGTCATTGTGGATATTTATTTTTTGAGACTATACTGAATTCTGACTAGCTTACGTGCAATATGAAATCTGGAAACTATATCAATGAATTTTCAAACTCTGGATTAAAACCTATTAGTCTGTTTTGAACTCTCATGGTGTTTATTACCCATGCATAATTTTGTAACATCATGCGTTGGTAACCTGGGGGAGGAAATGGGTCACTGAGTTATGGTATGTTTTAAGTACTGACATATTTCATTACGAAACAGAAAAACTCATGTTTGTTAATATCACCACTGCTATCATCAGAAAAAATTTCAAGCACTGGCAAACTGTCAAGGTGATGGTGGAGATTTAAGTTCTCCAAAATTCTAATTATTGCTTGAAAAGCAGAACTTTGTCACTGTTAACAACTACTCGTTATTCTCCTCAAAGCTCAGGCTCACTATTTATAGTAAGCCACAAACCTAAGTGTGAACTTCAACTGTTTTATTCGCATAAGAGTAATGTAACATAACAAAGTAGATAATTTAACTTTCAACTCAAATATCACAGCAGGCTTTCCCTTGAGAGACTACTGTGCTTTTGAATGCAGCAGAACTGCTCTGTGTGTTTTTCTCATTTCATCATCGCATCATGTGTTAAAACAACATATAGTCAAGGGCTGATGGTTACTAAAGCAATAATTTTTACTGTTTCAACAAGGACATTAAATGAAATTTACTTCTAATAAAATGTAAGCATCTACCCAGGAATATAATCCCTTAAATATAATCTGTTGCTTCTAGCTTGATTCATGCAAAGGCATTTTACCCACCATAGATTTGCACTATTGGTGAAAAAGCAAAAAAAGCATTAAATATTTGACCTTGTGAAGCCCTTAAAAAGGTCCAGGTTCCAGGTGTGGTAGTGCTCACCTGCAGTTCCAGCACTTCAGAGGCCAAGGCAGGTGGATAAGGAGTTTGAAGTAGGCTGAGCATAGCAAATCCCAGGAACAAAAAACCCTAAACCAAACACAAACAACCCCCTCCCTCCACAAACAAAAAGGCCTAGGCTAGCAGGGCCCCATACTCCACACTCTGAGAAGCACCCAGGCAAGGGTTCACTGTGAGTATTATACACAGACAGACTTCTGTGCTTTAATATATGACAAAGCTCCAAGCTGGTATCCAGCACAGCATTAGTCCTTAATGTTTTTGATACAAAAAAGGGAATAAGGAAGAGTTAAATAAAAATCTCTCAACTAAGGAGAGGGTAGATGGGTCTTTGCTTGCTTAACTGAAACTTATACTTTTTTGGGGAGGGGTACACTTCTTTTACACCTTTCAACACCTCTGAAAAGTCAGGGATTGCGTGGCAACTACTTCTTATTTCTCTTTCATTATCACTGTCATTTCCAAGTTACTCAGGACAATTTCACGAGTTACCACTGCAAGCTAAGGAAGCTATCTTTGAATAAATGGTTGGTCTTAAATATTAGGAGGCATGATCATCAGCATAATTTTATTTCTATTCAAATATTTTTAAAATTTATAAAATTTTTTTTTTGTTTGTTTGTTTTTTCCGGTACCAGGAATTGAACTCATGACCTCGCGCTTGCCAGGCAGGCGCTGTGCCTCTGAGCTAAATCCCCAGCCCCTTTTATAAATGTAAATGATTACCTTATACTTCCTTCAGTCCCAGTTTCCATGTTATTACAAAAGATTTTAGTTTACCTAATTGGTAATATTTTTGGAAATACAGTATTTCAAATTAAATCAAGAGATTCTGATATACTAATTTAAAAAATGTAAATTTGTACATCATATCTTTGCATCCGTAATCTTTTGTAGAAACTCATACATATTTCCTTTTAAAAATACTTATTACAGCCTGGGTAAGGTGGCACACACCTATAATCTCAGCACTTAGGAGGCTGAGACAGGAAGATCAATGTGAGTTTGAGGCCAACATGGGACACAAAGGGAGCTCAAGGCCAGCCTGAATTGCATAGCCAAACCCTGTCTCAAAAGGACAAAAATAAAAACAAATTATTACAGGATGTGGGTGTAGCTCAGTGGTGGAGAACAGACCTTCTATGTGCTAGGCCTTGAGTTTGAACCTAACCTAACAACATACAAATAAACAAAAATTATAAAAAATATTTCAATGGTTCCATATTCCAACAATTTTCCTCTCAAAAATATCATTCAATCTTTTGGTAAAGAATATTGGTATTTTTTTTTTTAAGAAAGGGTATTTGTAATGTTAGATGCAAACAGAGTCTCTTACTTTTTTTTATAATTTACATGGCTCTTCCTAAAAGAATACGTCCCCACCAGGATAAAATTGTCTCTAGAATAATTTTAATATTTAAAAAAATTTTTAAATATTTTCTTGTCTAAAAATACACAGAATGTATTCTACTCTATTTATTTACCCACCATTTAAATAATATCAAACCTTTTCCACTACTATGATTGCAATCTGACTGCTAGCACCATTCCATCACGATCATGTTGGTATAGCTAACATCTGTTTTATTCTACATTTTTTTCTGGCAGTAGATAAATAACACCACTTTCAGACAGAAGAGTCATATACAAAGAATCAAGGGCCAATTGCAACTATGAAAGGAATCAGTAATCAAGTGAGTGGCCTCCTAACAGAAATGAATAAAGAATAATTTAAAGATTGTTGAGTATATGAAAGGTAAATTCAACAGAAAGGAAACCCATGTGTACTGCCCATCTACACTACTAAATCCAATGGCCAATTTTCCTCTTACTTGATCTATCAGCATTTGATATAATGTCGCCATTCCCCACCTGGGTGTTAGGACATCAGCGACTTCAGGTTTTCTCTCTATCTTCCTGGGTGTTCCTTCCTGCTTGTCTTTGTTGTTTCCCCCTCTTCTCCCCGACCTTTTATTTTATTTTATTTTTTTGTTTTTGTCTCCCCCGCCCCATACCAGGATCAAACTCACAACCTTGCACTTGCCAGGCAGGTGCTGTGCCGCTGAGCTAAATCCCCAGCCCCCCAACCTTTTATTTTAAAGTGGCCCAGTACTTAGTTTTTTGTTCTTTTCACTTCCTAACTCCTTCACTTCCCCAGTGAGTGCAGGTGGCCTCAATGCTTTCAATACCACCCACACTGCACACAAATTCATTGTCTCTTTCCAGACTTTGATTCAACTACCTACCTGACCTCTCCGCTCGTATATCCACTAGACATATCAAATGCAACGCAACCAGAGCCTCTCCCATCCCCACAGCAAAGCCCAGCTCCACTTGCTGCTTTCCTGTCTATCTTTCTAGTTGCCCAGGTCAAAAACACGAGAGCCATTCTCGCCTCCTCTCTTACTGCCTCTGTCCTTCCACAAGAACAAACATTTCTCAAAGACAAGGCTTCCCTTCAGTTCTATTTTGTTTGTAGATGTCTCACAAATACCTAAACAATAATGCTTTGCAAATGTAGATAATCCTTGAAAAACAAATTGCTGAATATTTGTAATTTTAGTGAAGAAAGGGATGCAGCTGCTTTAAGTTTAGAAATAATAATTGCACAATCAAAGTGTATATCTGAGTACTGTCATTGGAGGAAGGTCTTTCAGTACAGGGCCAGGACATTACCATAGTTGAGGCCAGCATGGAGGGTACAAAACAGGAAGAGTACAGAGTTACTGCAATTTTACACGTATGGGTTTCCCCAGCTGTACCCAAAGGTTCCACAAATCAAAATAAAGTCACTAGGATGTGCTTAACACACAAGTCACAGAATCCACTACTTTCTTCCAGCAGTATGAGGATGAAAAAAGAAATCAGGAGAAAAAAGCCACACGTTCCCAATTACATAAAAATCTATACACTTCTCCCTTGGAAAAGCATGACTATAGCTCTTGTTTTACTACATAGTATGAGGTACATGGCAACTCATTTCTAGAAAAATCCACCAAGAATGGTATGCTTTAAGTGACTTGCACACGGAACTCAGCCGGGGTAGCCTAGGAGGTCTACACAAACATTCTTCCTCACTGTGAAGTTCTTTGCTTTACCACAAGATTCTGATTGGAACTTAAGGAACTTTGAATGTACAAAGAAACAAGTAATTTAAGTAGCAGTTCCCCCGAACTCACACCTTATTTCATGTCCCTTACCTGATGAATAAAGTAATAAGCCACTATCAATATAGTTAATGCTTCTTCATCTCCACTACCTATATGGCATCATAAAATGTGAATGCTTTGACTCAAAGGAGTCTTAAGGGGCAAGCTGAACTTGTAACCCAATGCATGCTTCTGTATTATCTTCTTAGATATTTCTGTGACGTTGTATGTTCAGCTGACGGTCCAGCTACATCGTCTGGAGAGTCTTCAAGTTGAGCTTATCACTTTTCCAAGAGTGGTGGCAGCAGGAAGCAAAATATATTCTATCCAGCAATTCTAGTTCTTTTAACCAGTGATGAGAGCTCTCCTTTTTCTAATTACTCCCGTCAAAGACTTAAGAACAAATTTTTAATTCACATGTGTTTGAGGACATACAAGTCCTTTGCATTTCCAGTTATCTTTATTGGAGCCATAAAGATACCACTTTGAATCTACTAAAATGTCACATATTCTGATCAATAGCTGTTTTTTTTTTTCCTCTCACAGTATTATTCCCTTTCCTTCATTTAACATGCTCTACTATAAAGCAATTGTGAGGGTGAGTATACATTAGTCACTGTGGTAGGTGCTAGGGAAATAGAAGAGAACAAACCAGACAAGGCACTTGCACTTGTAAACGCATGGAGGAAATTCACTCACTAATGAAATTCCTAAGAAAACATGTATTGAAACTGCTTTTCTTTGAAAATGAGGGTTTATTATTGTTTCCTGTGCAGTGGTGCATTTAAAGAGGTTATTTTATTTTACTGAGGATAAAATTTATATCTTGTTTATTTTTGAATCTTGTAGAAAACAGCCCAATGCCTATGCCTTAGAAGCAGCCCTCAGTACATATTCTCTAAACTGAAATAGACTGAAGCATACATTCACACACAGATGCACACACACAACTGTGCACTGTGCATGTATATCTTATTATCCTCTTTATAAGGTTGATGGTACAAATAATAGCAGAGTATTACCACATAGGCTCACATTACAAGCAATGATTATAAAAAAATCCCTTACTGAAGAGAATGCTTGAGATGAGAAAAAGAGTCAGAAATTATTTATCATTTCAAAATTAAGGCTCACTGCAATTTTAATGCACAATACTCTGTCACTTTTGCTAAAGAGGATGTGTTGGTCGATAATACTTTTTTAGGGCTCAGCTTGTACCCAAAGAAATGGCCAAATTTTGTGATTGCCTTGTCTGAATATTAATTTATTAACTAAGTGAAGAAAACATATCTCAACATAAACAATAAACATAACAATATAAAGGTTTGGAATTTTCCATTTGTAAATCCTCCTAAGATTTTAAAAGAAGGCTTTAGCGTCTTTAGGATTTTTGTCAAATATCTTCAGCTACACTTTATGATAATGGTAATAATTTAATCCTTACCTTGTACAATTTAGATTTAAATTCAGAAATCCTCTCTGAAATGATGCTAAGCTGTGCTCTAATAGTCTTTTAAAAATAACCATAAAAGATTAGCATCAAATATCATTTCTTTCGCTCACCTGTATTATTCTGAACACATCGACAGTCTGAGACATGACTCAGCTCTCTGAATCTCACTGTAATTCTTACTTCGTTATTTTTTCTCTCTTAACCAAAGAACAGTCTTCTAAGAGGTCAAATGTATACACACCCTTATCTATACCCTTGAAAAGGCTGTGCTTCCCTCGAACTCCTAGGGTCACTGTGGTTTAGGCAAAGTTTAGGTTCAGACCTGGCGGCT